GCAGAACATAGAAACGCGAGGTGGTACGAAACGACATATTGATGGTAGCACCTCTTGTAATTTCTGCGATCTCAATACAAAATCTTCAAAAGACGAAATTTGCATATCCAGCCATAACAATTTCATAGTGGACACGTCAAAATTTTACGGAAAGCAATTTGCTAAAGGCTCACAGAATCGTGAGAAGGTATGGAAATTACAATCTGCTCCCGGTATCGATGGCAACACCTCTTGTAGTTTCTGCTCAATACAAAATCTTTAGTTTCAATTACCCAGCCTTTTATAGTAAACGCGTCAAAGTTATACGAAAAATACTAACAGAATCGCAAGGAGGCTCTCAATAGGAAGGAATGGTTTCTGCTATCCTAATAGAGGATCTTTAAATGCTAAGACCCGCATATCCAGCCGCGTGATTTTTATCATAGAAGCGTTGAAATTAATTTGAGAAACAATTTTCTAACAGGATTACAGAAACCCCTGGAGGTGTGGAAAAAGTACTCGGTGACGACATCGACGATTCCCGTAAGAGATGTATGTTCAGAGTATCAATATGATTTAAACTATATGAAGAGGGGTTTCCCATTTTTCTTTACAGTAGTCAGATAACTCGGCATTTAGTCCCTGGTTCCACTGCTGCCTCGGTATAAAACGAAGGAGCCTCGGATGAGGAGCTGCTTCCACAATAAAATTTTCTATGCTTGTCTACATTTTTTAAATAATTGATAATGAGGAACAAGGCCCTTTGTAAGCTCCACCATTTATTAAAATAACATGCAAGATATAAGGAAGGCCAAGATAAAAGTTTGCGTACACATTCACTTTTTTTAAAGTAAAATAATAATAAGTAAAATACTCATGTCATAGTGGAGCACCAATTTTGGTGATGCTCACTTATCCGCAGTTATTTAACTAAAAACTCACATATTTTCCTTTTGACCATTACAGCCACTAAAAAGGCGTGATGCGTGAAATAATCATTTCATGCGTGAACTTCCAGGTCAACTAGAATAACCCCAGGTAATCTGAGTGATGATGTCTATTTATATTTTCTACGCAGGTAGCAACTCTCTGTCTGCCCATATACAGGCTGATTCAGAAATACGTGGCAATATTTCTGGAGTAGCGAGTGTAACTTCTAAATCAAGAAAACAAATTATATCTTCGGAAGGGACTCAAAATTTTGAACGCTTTTCTTCGGAAATGTTTGTCGAAATGTTTTGGGGAAAATTGATTTGAGTATTTAATGTGGAATACGTATAAAGAATTTAAAATGCATTTCGCTTTGAAAATATGATGAAATTAGCGGTTTGGCGCGAGTAGGTATAGAAATGGTACTCTCATCCTGATATCTTCTTGTTTCTGCTCTCTGGATACAAAATCTTTGAATACCGAAATCCTGGCATCCAACCATCAGACTTTTATTCTAAAGCCTTCAAACTGTATGAAAACCAATTTGCTATCAGTACAAAAACGTCAAAACCCAAAATCCGCACAGCCAGCCATCAAACTTTCATCATAGAAGCTCCAAAACTGTATAAGAAGAAATCTTCAAAACCCAAAATCCGCACATCCAGCTCTCAGAGTTTCATCACAGAAGCTCCAAAACTGTATAAGAAGAAATTTGCTACCAGGATTACAGAAACGCGAGGAGGTATAGAAATGGTAGTCTGCTTCCGATATCAGTTGCAATTCCTCTCGTCGCTTCTGCTATCCTGATGCAAAATCTTCAAAAGTCGAAGTCCGCGCATCCGTAGTAGCTTTGAAATTGTATGAGAAGCAATTTGCTATCGGAATTACAGAAACGCGAAGAGATATGGAAATGGTACTCCATACTAATGGCAATGCTATACTTCTCGTCGTTTCTGCGATCCTAATACAAAATCTCCAAAACCCAAAATCCGCACATCCAGCCATCAGACTTTCATCATAGAAGCTCCAAAACTGTATAAGAAGAAATTTGCTATAAGGATTTGAGTAAACGGGAGGAGGTATGGAAATGGTACTGTGCTCCCGATATCAGTGTTTATCACCTCTTTTCGCTTCTGCTATCCTGAAACAAAATATTTAAAAGCAGAAATCCAGACATCCAACCCTCAGAGTTTTATAGTAGAACTTTGGGAACTGTATAAAAACCAACTTGCTATTCAGGTTCAGAGAAACGCGAAGAAGTATGGAAACCGTACTCTCATCCTGATATCAATAGCAATGTCTCTCGTCGCTTCTGCTGTCCTGATACAAAATTTTCAAAAGCCGAAATCTGCTCATGCATTCATCAGACCTTCACCGTAAAAGTTTTTTGAAACTGTATGAGAACCAATTTGCTGTCAGGATTACAGAAACGTGATGAGGTATAGAAACGGTACTATGCTTCCGATATCGATGGGAGCAGCTCTAGTCGTTTCTGCGATCCTAATACAAAATCTTCAAATCCCAAAATCCGACATCCAGCCATCAGACTTTCATCATAAAAGCTCCAAAACTGTATAAGAAGAAATTTGATATAAGGATTTGAGAAACGGGAGGAGGTATGAAAATGTTACTGTGCTCCCGATGTCAGTGTTCATCACCTCTCGTCGCTTCTACTATCCTGATACAAAATATTCAAAAGCCGAAATCCTGACATTCAACCCTGAGTTTTATAGTAGAACTTTGGGAACTGTATAAAAACCAACTTGCTATCAGGTTCACAGAAACGCGAAGAAGTATGGAAACAAACCGTACTCTCATCCTGATATCAATAGCAATGTCTCTCGTTTACAGAAAGGCGAGGAGGTATGGAAATGGTATTCTGCTTCCGATATCAATGAGAGCACCTGTAGTGGTTTCTGCAATCCTAATAGAAAATCATCCAACACCAAAATCCGCACAGCCAGCCATCAGACTTTCATCATAGAAGCTCCGAAACTGTATAAGAAGAAATTTGCTATAAGGATTTGAGAAACGGGAGGAGGTATGGAAATGGTACTGTGCTCTCGATATCAGTGTTTATCACCTCTTTTCCCTTCTGCTATCCTAATACAAAATATTTAAAAACCGAAATCCAGACATCCAACCCTCAGAGTTTTATAGTAGAACTTTGGGAACTATATAAAAACCAACTTGCTATTCAGGTTCAGAGAAACGCGAAGAAGTATGGAAACCGTACTCTCATCCTGATATCAATAGCAATGTCTCTCGTCGCTTCTGCTGTCCTGATACAAGATTTTCAAAAGCCGAAATCCGCTCATGCAATCATCAGACCTTTACCGTAAAAGTTTTGAAACTGTATGAGAACCAATTTGCTGTCAGGATTACAGAAACGCGAAGAGGTATAGAAACGGTACTATGCTCCCGATATCGATGAGAGCAGCTCTAGTCGTTTCTGCGATCCTAATACAAAATCTTCAAAACCCAAAATCCGCACGTCCAGCGCTCAGAGTTTTATCACAGAAGCTCCAAAACTGTATAAGAAGAAATTTGCTATGAGGATTTGAGAAACGGTATGAGGTATGGAAATGGTACTGTGCTCCCGATATCAGTGTTTATCACCTCTTTTCGCTTCTGCTATCCTGATACAAAATATTTAAAAGCCGAAATCCAGACATCTAACCCTCAGGGTGTTATAGTAGAACTTTGGGAACTGTATAAAAACCAACTTGCTATCAGGTTCACAGAAACGCAAAGAAGTATGGAAACAAACCGTACTCTCATCCTGATATCAATAGCAATGTCTCGCGTCGCTTCTGCTGTCCTGATACAAGATTTTCAAAAGCCGAAATCCGCTCATGCAATCATCAGACCTTTACCGTAAAAGTTTTGAAACTGTATGAGAACCAATTTGCTGTCAGGATTACAGAAACGCGAAGAGGTATAGAAACGGCACTATGCTCCCGATATCGATGAGAGCAGCTCTAGTCGTTTCTACGATCCTAATACAAAATCTTCAAAACCCAAAATCCGCACGTCCAGCGCTCAGAGTTTCATCACAGAAGCTCCAAAACTGTATAAGAAGAAATTTGCTACCAGGATTACAGAAAGACGAGGAGGTATGGAAATGGTATTCTGCTTCCGATATCAATGAGAGCACCTGTAGTGGTTTCTGCAATCCTAATAGAAAATCATCCAACACCAAAATCCGCACAGCCAGCCATCAGACTTTCATCATAGAAGCTCCTAAACTGTATAAGAAGAAATTTGCTATAAGGATTTGAGAAACGGGAGGAGGTATAGAAATGATACTGTGCTCCCGATATCAGTGTTGAACACCTCTCGTTGCTTCTGCTATCCTGATACAAAATATTCAAAAGCCGAAACCCTGAGTTTTATAGTAGAACCTTGGGAACTGTATAAAAACCAACTTGCTATCAGGATCATAGAAACGCAAAGAAGTATGGAGACCGTACTCTCTATCCCGATATCGATAAGAGCAGCTCTAGTCTTTTCTGCGATCCTAATAAGAGTTTCATCACAGAAGCTCCGAAACGGTATAAGAAGAAATTTGCTACCAGGATTACAGACACGCAAGGAGGTATAGAAATGGAACTCTGCTTCCGATATCAATGGTAGCTCCTCTCGTCGCTTCTGCTATCCTGATACAAAATATTCAAAAGCCGAAATCCGCACATCCGTAGCACATTCAGCCATCAAACTTTCATTATAGCAGCTCCAAAACTGTATAAGAAGAAATTTGCTACCAGGATTGCTGAAACGCGAGGAGGTATGGAAATGGTACTCTGCTTCCGATATCAATGGTAATGCCTCTTGTCGATTCTGCTATCCTGATACAAAGTCTTCATAAGCCGAAATCAGTACAATCCAGCAATCAGATTTTTATCGTAAAAGCGTTAAAATTGTATAAGGAGCATTTCTGTAACAGGGTCGCGGAAAAGCGAAGATTTTATGGAGTTGACATTCCGCTCCAGATATCTGGGATCCTGATTCAGAACCTTCAACAGTCGAAATCTACATATCCAGCCATGAAACTTTTATGAAGCAATGTGCTATCAGTAACGTTTGCGAAGTGAAGGAAAGAAAACATAAAGCAGATGTAAAGTGTATATTTTTATTATCTCAATATTTAAAATTTTACAAAATCCATTCTTATTGTAAAATATAAAACAAATACTAAAACTACACAACAAGTAATTCGCCGAGGAAACAAATTCCTCCCCGACCAAAAATACAAAATAACTATATTTCCATAAATACATAGACCTATGAAATATTTAGTGATATAAAATTTTGTCATCTACAAATCTGTATTTACACAATAATTTAGATGCTATTTTGCACATGCAAGAACATAATGCAGAATCCTCAACTTATCTGCAAAGACATGAAGAAATATTTACATAAGAAAGACCCAGCCATCTAGTGATTTTGTCATTTTGGCTGTGCAAGGTATTTTATATTTACAAACAACCAATCAGCAATTAATACTAACCCTTTTAGCATCACCATTGATTTTTTTTCGAAAAATTGAAGAGTCTGCTTAAATTCTTCAATATAATAGGTGACAAAGAACAGTGGTATTACTTCTAGGGCAGAAATAATTCAGCACGTTCTTGAACGTGGACACTTTTTGAATCTCACGCAGGCATTTTTTAAATGTTAGTTTTAAATGAAATGTCTCGAGTTTATGTAAAGTGGTTCCAATTACAGAAAATCAGGTTTGAAAATATTTAATATAAAATCGGAACTCTTTATGACACTTTTGGATGTAATTTCTGCTCTAGAAACATTTCAATCATTTTCCCACTTTAATTATTAAAACATGGCGCAAAGTACACCAAAGAAGAATATATAGAGATGTTATATGTACATTTTTATAAATAATTTCCATACGCGATGATATTTTTGCACATGAATTCAGATAAATCGTGTTCATACATCTGAAATTAAATCACAATTGGTATAAACTACTTTTTTATAGTACGCTAAATGCTGTCTTTGTATTTGTTACGGTTCTATTAATTATCTGAGGGTATTTCCTAAAACTATGATTTTACTTGTGCTGGAGTTGAATAAGGACATGTGAGACTTATTCAAATTGATCAAAGCATGATGAATCAAGCATTAGACACCACTACAATTGTGAATATCAGTCAATCAATATTTAAGGACGACTTACCTTTGCTGCATCTCAATAATCATTTAGGAATATATTAAAACAAGAAGCTTCAACAATTCTTCAATCTTCATTGTCAATAAACCTCCAGAATAATTATTAGTGCTTTAGTGACTGGTATTCTGTTTTCGAAAGATGATCGATATCTCCCCAAACGTTTTAAAAATCAATATTGATTCAATAAGTTTCGACAAAAAATTCTCGATTCTTTTCAGGTACGTTTTTTCTAAGTGATGTCCCAAACGTAATTAAACTATTACACGCGGTACGAAATAAAAATAAATATTATATAAAAATAGAAAAATCAATCACATTTTTTATCCCATCAAGAAACACAGTGTACGTTTTCAGACCTCTTCGCAGAATTACAAATTTAATGACACTATCTAGAATTTTCGAAAAAAAAATAGAAGATATTTGTTAGTGTGATCACTATAATACATATTAATTTATCTAAATCCTAAGCACGAGACCTAATAATCACAAACAGCATCTTTCTCTAAATTTAAGATAGTGCAAAAAGACACACTGGGAAAATCCTAACCAAGTTACTTACACTTAGAATATTGTGAGATCCAACATTGCATCAAAGTAATAATATTCGTAGAATTAATCGCATAGTAAACGAAGATTTGGATATCTTTTACAATTTTGATTTAATCTTATGCAAATCTGCATTTATTTCCAAATATACATTTTTTAATATATTTTTTTCGATGCTTAAACTAATCGATAGCACTTCAAATTACAAATAACTTAATCCTCCTGCACTACCTCTTATGTTCAGTCATTGCCCAATTTTTATCTATCAACTATAAACCGGATTTACAAAGTTTCCTCAATGTGACACGTCCCTTTTTTTAGTTTTTTTTCAATTTCCTGTTTGCAACAGTATTCTAAATCCTTTTCATCTGATAATTTCATGGTGTGTAACAATGTTTTCATTCAAAAAATGCATTTTTTGTGTATTTTATAGTGCATTTTTTTCTTCAATCGGAACTTGTTAACAAATACAGCTCTGAAACTATGTGTGAATATTCCTCTTTTATGGAAGAATGAAACGAGTGATTACTTTTATTCTTATCACTTTTCCTTTTCGAAAAATCTTCATTATCTTGAAAACTCAACTTGCTCCGAGACGATACATTAACGTAAATAATCAACGGAGAATACAAAAAAACATACATATTCCCCATTATGCGTAGTTGTACAAAAGTACGGAAAGAAACGAACTGCCAATAGGCCGATAACACTGGTATATCGGTATCGGCAAAAATCCAATATTAACCTGAAGATAGCCAACCTAATATCGGGTGTTTTTTTTCGAGGTATAGAACTTTAAGTTGGCATTATTTTTGACGACCGATTTGACAGCTGTCAAGTGATTTCTTCTCAGTTTGGTTTGGCAATTCATCATGAATAGACTCACGCTTGAACAACGCTTGCAAATTGTGCAGTTTTATTTCGAAAATAATGGTTCTGTGCGGAACACGTATCGCGCACTACGTCCATTTTATCGTCGACTAAATCGTCCATCAGAGCAGTTAATTCGATTAACCATGGAACGTTTTCGCAGCACGTTTACTCTAATTGATAACTCGCATACCCAGAAACGCCGGACGGTGCGTACAGAAGAAGCTGTTCCTACTGTAGAGCGTAGCATTGAGGCAGGCCCGAACGAGTCCATCCGCCATCGAGCACAGGAATTGGGTCTGTGTCCATCCACTTTATGGAAGATTTTGCGGAAGGATCTTGGTTTGCGTGCTTACAAAATCCAACTTGTGCAAGAATTGAAGCCAAACGATCATCAAGCAAGGCGTAGACTCGTTGAATGGGCCCAAAACGAGAATGCCGTTGTTCCTGATTTTCATAAGCCAATTTTGTTTAGCGATGAAGTGCACTTCTGGTTGAATATCTACGTCAACAAACAAAACTGCCGCATTCGGAGTGAAGCTAATCCTCAAGTCTATGTCGAAACACCGTTACATCCAGAAAAACTGACTGTTTGGTGCACTTTATGGGCTGGTGGAATCATTGGTCCATACTTCTTCAAAAACTATGATGATTACTAACTTTCATTCCTGAATTGAACAATCATGATGTCCAGGAGCTGTGGTTCCAACAAGACGGCGTAACATGTCACACAGCTCGTGCTACAATCGATTTATTGAAAGAAACGTTTAGTGACCGCCTAATTTCACGTTTTGGACCTGTGAATTGGCCTCCAAGATCTTGTGATTTAACACCGCTAGACTATTTTCTGTGTGGCTATGTAAAGTCATTGGTCTATGCGGATAATCCACAAACGCTTGACCATTTGGAAGACAACATTCGCCATGTTATTGCCGATATACGGCCACAAATGTTGGAAAAAGTCATCGAAAATTGGACGTCCAGATTGGACTACATCCGAGCCAGCCGTGGCAGTCATATGCCAGAAATCATATTTAAAATGTAATGCCACAAGATTATCTTTCGAATAAAAAAAAATGCATGTCAATCGAATAATCCATCGTTATTACACCCGTTACTATATTCCCACTTCCAAAAAATTATCCGAGATGAAATAAGTCACCGCAGCGTCATCTATGAGAATTTGTTACAGCTATGCCACATCCAACTATATCATCATAAGTCGCCTATTTAGCTACACCTCCATCTATGAGATCCTAACCTTTTCAAATTAGATTTCCAATTAGTACGACGAAGGGAAACAAAGCTGTAAGAAATTTTCATAGATGATGCTATGGATCTCAGTTCGTCGCAGATGATTCTTTAAACCCCGAAAAATAGTATCAGGTTGACTATCCCCACATAGAATGCTTTGATCAAATATACATGTGGTCCTGGACTGTGTTGCATTTATAGAAAACAGTTTTTTTGAGGCTTACAAGCCATCCGAAGGACCCTTATTTCTATTCTCAATCGCAGGCATCATAGAATCCATAGTCAACTCATTCTTTTATCTGTAATAATTTTTTCTTGTGAGCGCTACACTGCTAAGGGACAAGGAGAACAATCAACAGAAACTGGGCATTGTTCTGTTACCTTTCGAAGAATTCTTTGACGTTCCCTCGCTCGCCTAAAAATCCTCTTGATAAAAAACAGCGCAGCCTCGCTGTCGTCCACCAGTCTCATCTCTAAATACAAAGCTATTAGGCGCATTTACTGTTTTGATGTTTGCATTCACCAACTTATATGATAAAAAATACGAAAGCTGCCAGAAAGTGTTTGTCTATTAGTTATTGTATGGCCTCGTTTTCAAGCAATGGCCTCCTGGAAAATCAATATCATCCCATTTTTAAGCTGTTGTTTCTTGTTGTGGCAATGGCAACTATTCTCAATGACAGGCAGAGAGCTTTGTTCTTGTTGTTCTGTCTGTTTATGGCAATGATAACGTTACCAAAGCACCGAAGTGACAATATTATCTCGATGGATAGAAGCTATTGTCTTACTTCGATTTTCTCATACCGCGAACGTATTCTCCTTCTCATTTTCCTAAACTCAACCTAACCACCTCCTCAATGCACCAATACATCCTTTGCAGGTTCTGCCTCAGTCCCCGTCGCATTCGACTGTCTCGTAGGGCTCAATAGCTCCCGCTTGTCCCTGTCCCTCTCCCTACCGGGCCTGAAAGTCTCTAACAGGGCCTGCACTCTGTCCTCCGTGGGTTCCCATCTTTGATGTCCCGAGGTGTTTTGCAGCCATACGATCACTGTACCGTGTGGTGAACGTACGTTCAGTTCTGTCCTGTAACAATATATTGTTTCAGGTCAAGATATCTAAGCTTCCCGAAAAAAAACATAGGTATGAATGAATAATGAAAAGTCCCCTCATCAAGTTGGAATGACCACTTTTGGAAGTATATTAAAAAAAAAACTCGTGTAAAAGTGTTGTAGTGGATGAAAAAAAAACTATAAATGAGGTCTTATATGTACAGTAATGGACAAAAGTATATAGACAAATTAATATTGTGCTGCATTTCTTTTTTAACTTGTTTTATTAATACACCAACCTGTATACATAATTCGTTATAGCATAATACTCACTTATACATAAATAAATTCATTAGACTCCCTTCAATAAAAAATTAATTGATAAAAACTGGAACTATGAAAAAAGAAGCAAAGTTCATTGAATTATAGAAAACCAACGATGTTTGTGTCAATATTTTGTAACATAACCATTATTATCAATCGCCGTCTGGCATCGTCCCGGCATAGATTGTAGAAGTTTCTTGATATAAGATTCATCAATCTGTCTCCACGTTTGCTCTAAAGCGGCAAAAAGTTCATCCTTGTTTGAATAATTTTTATCTGGTATTTGCTTATCTAAGAATTCCCATAGATTTTCAATGGGGAGACTGTGATGGCCATTTGAGAACTGGTATTTTATCATACAGAAAGAATTTCTTTGCGAGATTTGAAGTGTGCTTCGGGTCATTATCTTGCTGGAAGATTGATCTTAAGGGCATATTGTCTTACATATAGGGTAACATGACATGCTTTAGTATGTCTGTGTATACAAAGTTATCCATAATGCCATCTATTCTATGTAAAGGTCCCATCCCAAACCCCGAAAAGCACCCCAAACCATAACAGACCCGCCTCCATGTTTGACAGTGGGCAAATAACTATATTGAAGTACGGGTAAGATATAGGGTGTTTCAGTTTATTGTTGCATAACTTTAAGATTCGATAGAACTTTTAAAATTAATGCATAAAGTCTATATAAACATGGATCGAAAAATGCGTGTCTTCCGAAATACAGGGTGTTTAAATTTACTTTCTAAAATAGTTTTTTTTTAAATATTTCGAACAATATTTGATGTATGACAGTGAAAATTGGTATACAAGGGTTTTTTGGTACGACAAAACGAACCATACTGTACCTGTAGTGTATTAAAATGACCGAAAAATTTTATTAGTGCAGTTTTTTGCTTTTTGAATAAAAAAACTGATTCTTCGCACTTTTCAACATAAAAAAGCCCTCTTGTGAATTTTCGTTATAGTTAGCCGTTTTTGAGATATTTCGATTTTCAAGGTTCGATGCATTTTTAATTATTTATGATAAAATAACGTTAAAAAGTCAGTATCTCGATCATTTTTAGAAATAGGCTGTGGCTGCAAATATTTTTGAAATTGAAAGCAGAATAAGGTTAAACGTCAATTAGTTGACAGTTAGTTTTGTTGTCTGTTGAAACCTGAAACGTTTTTTTGCAATTGTGAATGCACGAAATTTTTTTTCTTTTACCTGTTTTTTTTTGTAAGTTTTATAAAAATGGCATTTTTATTCTCCAATCAAGAGTTAGCGGATATTCATTTTGTGTATGGCTTTGTAAATGGAAACGCAGCAGAAGCAGCCAGAGAATACGCACGAAGATTTCCAAACAGACGACATCCAACTCGCTCAGTATTTGTAAGAGTGCATCGCCAAATAATTGAAAATGGTTTTGGAAATCTCCTAAGGGATCAAAACATAAATGTTCGTCTGCGCAGATTTCTGGTGCCTTGGGAATTTCAGCAAGCCATGTTCACCGTGTTCTTAGAAATGACCATAGACGTCCTTACCATTTGCAACCTGTGCAAGGACTACAGCCATGGGACGGAGAACGAAGAATCACATTTTGTCAGTGGATTCTTGATAGAACTGATAATTATAGGGAGTTTTTAAGTAACGTTTTATCGACCGATGAGTCATGCTTCACTAGACGTGGAGTGGTAAATTTTCATAATCTACATATTTGGTCGCATGAAAATCCGCATGCAGTTCGGGAAAGAAATTTTTAGCATGAATTTAGTGTGAACGTGTGGATTGGTATCTACCGTAATCGACTATTTGGACCCTACCTTTTGCCTGCAAGGTTAAATGCTGCGACCTTCTTGGAATTTTTAAAGGCTGAACATGAAAATATGTGGGATGATGCTATGTTAGATTTAAGAAGATTGGCCTGGTTCCAGCTCGATGGTTGTCCAGCTCATTATTCGAGAATAGTTAGAAACTGGCTGGACGAAAATTATCCAGAAAGATGAATCGGCCGTGGAGGACCGGTCGCCTGGCCTCCACGATCCCCTGACCTAAATCCATTATATTTCTTTGTGTGGGGATTTCTAAAAGAAAAAGTGTACCAGATTCCCGTAACCACAAGAGATATGCTAATAGACAGACTCAGGAATGCAATGTTCTTATTTAATAATGTATACCACGTTAAATCATTCGTGATGTATGTGTATGAAAATGGGGGTTCAAGCTATTGTTTGGCATACCTACATTTAGTTGTTAGTAATTTTGCAAAAAATAGACAAATTAATCGTTTTTGTGTTATTTTTAATTTGAAATACGTCAGTTTTATTGCAAGATTTTTTGCAACTGTTCGTTAATTCGATCGTAATATTGTTGATACGATTCTTTATTAAGCTGGTGCATGCGAGAGAGTTCGTAAGCTAAGCATGACTCGTTCCTTCTATCTCCGAATCTGTTAATAAGTATATCTTTGACGTCTTTCCAGGTAACCCAAGAACTGTTATTCAACCAATCCCTAGCCTCACCTTTAATTTTTGCAATAATATTATGAAGAAGTAGCTTGTTGAACACACAATTGGGATCTGGTTTTTTAAGTAGCTGTATAAATTGATCCCCTTTCGTTATAAAGTCTAAAAGATCCTTGGTGCCACCAAAATAATCAGGCACAATATCTTTAGCAAGAGACAACTCTAGATTAGTAATTTCCGAAGTCATGACTGGTGAATCAAGAGCAAATTCACGACGTCTTTCTGAATCTGATTGATCCGATTCGCTATCAGAATGATAAAAAGGCATATAAAATTATTAGAGCCACCAAAACTTCAATAGCCAATATCACAGAAATTACAAAAATAAGATAATATATAATATAGAAATAGAAATATTCACTAAATAGGTATTAATTGTCTATGAAAAAGCGACACTGAAATGTTTCAAATTAGCAACAAAAATGTTCAAAAACTTACAGTAACAAGATCACACACTGAAAATCCATGAAAGGCGCGGTTTTCTGTCTTCTTCTTTTTCTCTGTTTCGGCTCCACTAGCTTCTACAGTAGACTGGCTATACTGCTACAGTTGCTGCACACCCTCCTAGTAGTGTCGGACTTACTACTAACTTTTTGGGAGTTCTGGAACTTCAGGCCGTGGCCCAGTGCTAATGGTCCTCAGTACTTTCACTCGGTTGCTTATTACTGGCTAGGATCCCTCCAAGAACATTGAAAGTTCGCGTGCCTTTTCGTTTAACTGGTGATTTCGGCTTGCCGATAATCTGCTCGATTGCCTCGAATTCGGACGCCGAAGGAACACGTTTCACGTTTCGCGACACGCTGAGGGATCCCGGTTGAGCCCCCAGTTAAATTACTGATACCGAGATTGATGTTTTAAAAAAAAAAACTTCATTTCCAAAATCGGTACAGAGTGACTTCTAGAGAAACCTTGTCACGTAGGTACGTAAAACAAGACGGTCAAACCAAAAGTGACGAGATTTCCTAACATATGAATCTAGCATGGTATACAAGAAATATGATATGATAAAGAAAACGATGTTAACATGAGAACTAGCAAGGCGCGAGATAACATTCTTGAGCGCCGCGTCATTGCTCGTGAGAAATCAAGTGCCTACTAAGTAAATTATAATTTTATATAATGTACAGGGTGAGCATGGACATAACTCCTCCCTCCTTAAACTCTTAGAACGTCCTCGTTCTTATCAGACTCAACTTCATTTTTCTTTTGAGATAATTTTTGCCTTTTACACAAACGTGATTTTAATACAAGTATAATTAATATCGTAACGACTATCCCTATTATAAGAAAACTATTGACATGAGAATGATAGTTGTTAAACTTAACTGGTGCAACCTCTTTCATTTTATCTAAATTTTCCTTGATATCAGAAAAATCGTTACTAGTAATATGGAAAGTATCTATCGTGTGTGTTGGCTTTAATGTAAAGTCAGAAATATTGAAATCCATCATTTATAACCAGTGTGCAGTTACTACTTAAAATATAATTACCAATTAGATTAAAAGGCTTGATTTCGCCATCGCATTTTTCGAAAACAGTGATTCTGATGTTGCTAGAAAATAATACTGCCTCATCACTCTCGAGCAAATATGTTAAGCTTAAAAAGTTTTTAGCCTGTACAATGCTACATTGATCAATTGATCGAGGCGTACATTTTTGATTAGTCGAAGTTTCACAAATAAATCGATTCATGGATCTTTTACATTGCTTAGGACAACTTTTAATCGATACATCGTTATACAAAAAATATTCATGTTGGAATAGTACTAACATGGTGTTACTGTTTAACAAGGGATATAATGAAATAAGGCCTTATTTGAATAATGCTATACCACGTTCAATCATTCGTAGATGTATTGTGTATTGAACAATTGGGTTTACATTTCGAGCAACTACTTTAGATTTTGTATGTTTGTCCTAACTATCCAATAGCATTTTAGTTGTAAATAGTTAATTTAATTTGTTAAAAATAATATTGGAAAATTAAACAAATTAATATTCTGTTTTTTTGTGTTTATTTGGAGTTAGGAATTATTGCTGTGTTTAAACACACAATCTAAACGATCATCTTAATTACTTGTAATGCCCAAATCGAAAATGTAAAAAAATATTATTTTCCCATAAATAATTAAAAATGCATCGAACCTTAAAAATCGAAATATCTCAAAAACGGCTAACTATAACGAAAATTCACAAGAGAGCTTTTTTATGTTGAAAAGTGCGAAGAATCAGTTTTTTTATTCAAAAAGCAAAAAATTGCACTAAAAAAAATTTTCGGTCATTTTAATACACTACAGGTACAGTAGAGAGCGCCCTCCAGCGGCTACAGTAAAACTATGCCCATGGTTCGTTTTGTCGTACCAAAAAACCCTTGTATACCAATTTTCACTGTTATACATCAAATATTGTTCGAAATATTTAAAAAAGTAAATTTAAACACCCTGTATTTCGGAAGCCACGCATTTTTCGCCCCATGTTTATATAGACTTTATGCATTAATTTTAAAAGTTCTATCGAATCTTAAAGTTATGCAACAATAAACTGAAACACCCTGTATAGAAATAAATATGTGCTGCGATCTGTAACCGCACTACGGCGGTTAAGGGTTAAACAAACAATCATCTAACTATTCTGGTACTTACTTATTCAAGACATGTTGAAACCCATGCCTGAACTCATGCTCGTACGCCGGTATAGTCACTTGCTTCCTCTTGAACTGACTCGACTCTAACCTCACAAGCGCTGTCGGCGTGGGTTCCCTGTAATCTGGAACCAGCACCACGAAACTCAGAGGTTCCGGACTATCTGACAACAGTCGTTCCATGTGATTCACTGAAGCTTCCATTAGCTCTTCGCAGTAAGGCGGATGGCAGACGAACGAACCCGATACTGCTTTCAGTTTCAAGAACGATCTGCAAGGATATGTTGAGAATGAGGAAAGTGTTGATCAAGATAGGTAAATACTAAGGATGCAGGATGTCAGGATATATCGGTGAGACTCGGATATGCAGGACTTGGAATTTAACTGGAAAGGTAAGTAATGGTGTGGTCGAGTTTTTTCATCACAACTTGCACTTTATCAATATCCGCACGGGTATTACGCATCTCGAAAAGTGACATTTCGTCGGTTTTTTAATAACAAATGAAGAAGCAATAGCAGATCGAATGAATACCTATTTCATAGAAAGTGTCAACGACATTGTAAAATCAATTATTGACGGGGATCCCAAGCAATGCCCCATTAGCTCAGATTATAATGAGTGCGTTTAGAACAATAAACATTAATCGTCTCAAGAAGATTATATCAAAAATTAAATCAAATCAAAATAAGAGTGAGATTTTATCTAAAGGTGCTTAATGAAAGTTTTGATTTTATTGGAGCAAGAATATTAATCCTGATAGATTACTGTTTAAAATATGGCGAATTTCCAACAAAACTGAAGTGTTCTACCATAACTCCTGTTTCTAAAGTTAAGAATTTTGAGTTGTACACCAATATGCGGCCAATAAATGTTCTGCCAGATGTTGAAAAAGTTTTTGAAGAAATTATTTACGAACAGATCATCGAATCTATTGAGGGAAATAACATTTTAACCAAATTTCAAGCTGGATTCAGAAAGAAACACTCAACTGAAAAGCAACATTAATGGTTTTAGAGGACTGGAGGAGAAAAAACAAATTACATTTTATAGGGCTTCTCATAGTCTTGGTACCTATTCCAAGAAAATAGTTTATAATACAATTATTCTACTGCGTTTACTATATTGTTCAACTATCTTGTGCACTACTAATGAAGCCGTTTTCTCAAAATTACAAGTCTTGCAAAATAAAACTATGATAATAATATTGAATAAAAATAAGTACATCAAAATAAAATCTATGTTAAGAATTGCAGTGGTTGAATATAAAAAATTTCATATCATATTTGGTTCTTATTTTTATATTTAAAATAAAAAATCATCTTTGGCCAGAACATTTAGAACACTACATACAATTGAATAATCATTACCACAATTATTATACAAGAGGAAATATAGATTTTTCATTTACAAAATTGCAATAGTAATATAACTAGCAAATCAATATTTGTGAAAGGATTACTTGAATTCAATAAACTAAATAATGATATAAAGTCTACTTGTAATTTAAAAATATTTAAAAGAAAATTAAAGGAATATTTCATGGACAATGAAAATTCTTATAGATGCAAATTTTGTTTTTTGTTTAATGAATGTCTGTATGTTATGTAATTGTTTAGTTTTTTAGAAGAATGTAATTGTAGCAATTATGCTAAATAAATCATAAACAAACAAACAAAATTTCGTAGGTTTTTTGTGACATTTCCTAGGTTTTTCTACAAGATATTGTACACTTGTTGTACGTGTTGCTTAAACGTCAGCGAACGGCGATCATAGCGAGCAAACGTGGAATGAACTATTTGCACAATAAAAATTACCAAGTCTGCAACAAGACAGTTCATTTTTTTTTGACGTTTTTTTAAGTTTTTTACATAACACCCTTGCCGATCCAGATTCAAACTTACCCCCTGCTTCCAAAGTACGAGTCACAATCTGCGAAGGCCGAGCAATACTGCCTGAAGTAACAGCTCAATGGCGAAGCGAAACATTCAAAAGTGACGCCGAAAGCCCTGTTGAGACACTCCAGAGCTGCCACTGGAAGGGCTCGTTGCGTCTCGTGCGAATCGGCACTGGAAGTGGACGAGGAAGGGTAGACGCCCATGAAGGTGGCGTACCTTTTTAGTACGCACCACACCCTAGGGATGAACAGCTCGAATTTTCTGTCGTCGAAGCAGTTGTGCCTGTACAGATGCTCCTGGAACAAGAAGAATGGATGGATATTCATCTACTATCTGATCAGGGCTGAATATAAAAAAAAAGAATTCTCAAACGTGTCAATATATCCTATATTCTCAGTGCTCTCGAGATTCTCTAGATCCTCCAGATTCGCAAGATTCAGTTGTCAGGAATCTCGAGATTCTCAAAATTTCTAGAAACAACGAACATTTCTAAATTTTCTTTTTTTTTCAATAAATCGTCATTTTTTTATCTTCATAAATTTGTACTAAATTTTTCCTTAAATATGGCAATAATCAACTTTAAAACAAATTATTTCCATTATTTTTCTCTATTTGCCCAAAAATATTTGTTATCAGTCCAAAAATTTGATGGTGTCTGTCTTGTGTATCAAATCATTCAAATTTATAAAAGGGAGGATTTGAAAGTGATACATTTTGGCTTATTAACACTGAAACTCAAATAATTATTCGGTTCTCAGGAATCTCAAGATTCTTAAAATTTCTGAAACTCTGAAGAGCCTTGAAACAACGAACATTTATAAAATTTCGATATGTCTCAACATTATGGAAGTTCCGGAAATTCTAAAAGCTCTTAAAAGAGGTAGTTGAAGTAAATTTGAGATTTCTGAAAATCCAAAAAATTCTAAGAATTTGCAAAATTTTGAATTTCATTCAGATTCTCGTTATGATTATTAAAAGCTCAAAGATTCTGAGAATAGTGAAAGTTCTTAAAACCTATGAATGAAAATGCTGGAAACAAGGGAAGATCTAAAAAATTCCAAGAAATCTGAAAATTCCCAAATATTCTGAAAGCTCGAGGAATCGTAAAATACTGGAAGTTTGTACACTCATCAAAATTTCAAAGATTATCCATGAATTCTAAAGATCCTGTAAATTCATAAAAATCACAATTTTCTGGAAATAATGAAAATTTTGGAAATTCTGAATGATCTAAGAAACCGAAAATTCTGAGTAGTCCAAAAAAGCACGAATCTTTTGAGAAAATCAAAAAATCTTATTTTTTCGATAAATCGTCATTTTTTTATCTTCATAAATTTGTACTAAATTTTTCCTTAAATATGGCAATAATCAACTTTAAAACAAATTATTTTCATTATTTTTCTCTATTCGCCCAAAAATATTTGTTATCAGTCCAAAAATTTGATGGTGTCTGTTTTGTGTATCAAATCATTATTCAAATTTATAAAAATGGAGCATTTGAAAGTAATACATTTTGGCTTATTAACACTGAAAGTCAAATAATTATTCTGTTCTCAGGAATTTCGAGATTCTCAAATTTCTGAAACTCTGAAGAGCCTTGAAACAACGAACATTTCTAAAATATTGATATGTCTCAACATTATGGAAGTTCTGGAAATTCTAAAAGCTCTTAAAACAGGTAGTTCAAGTAATTCTAAAAACTGCAAAATTCCAAGAAATCCGAAATATCTGAAAATCCAAAAAATTCTAAGACTCCGAGAATTTGCAAAATTTTGAATTTCATTTCCTTATGAACAAACATTTCTAAAATTTCTGAGACTCTGAAGAGCCTTGAAACAACGAAAATTTCTAAAATTTCGATATGTCCGAACATTATAAATGTCCTGGAAATTCTGTAAGCTCTTAAAACAGGTAGTTCAAGTAATTCTAAAAGCTGGAAAACTCCACGAAAATTAAAATTTCTGATAATTCAAAAATTTTAAGACTCCATTATGAAAATGAAAAGTCCAAAGATTCTGAGAATTGTGAATATTCTGACAATCTTATAAATTCAAAATATGTATATCGTTAATTCTTGAAACAATATCTGCAAAGTTCTGAGAAATCTGACAATTCAGGAATTCCTAAATACCCTGAAAGCTCCAAGGAATCGTAAAATACTGGAAGTTGTAAACTCATCAAAATTTTGATAGTTATCCATGAATTCTGAAAATCATCGAAATTCTCAAAAATCACAAATTCTCTGGAAATAATGAAAATTTGAAAAACTCTGCACGATCAGTTTTTTTTTTCGAGAAAATCAAAGAATCGGATTTTTTCAGTAAATCATCATTTTGTTATTTCCGTCAATTTGTTCCAATTTTTACCTTAAATATGGCAATAATCAACTTTGGAACAACTTATTTTCATTATTTTCCTCTATTCGCTGAAAAATATTAATTTGTTGTCAGTCCCAACAATTTGATGGTGTCTGTATGTAAAATCAAAGAAACATTTAAAAGTCATAAAATTTAGCTTATTAACACTGAAAGTCAATAATTGTTGTAACGCCATTTTCTGATGTTGTTTGTCTTGATTTCATTTATCTTATTATTTCCAAAGTATTGCGGTATCATCAGCGAAAACTACGAATTTTCCATTTATGTTTAAGTTTGTCATTGAAACTGACTAAGGATAGGATCGGACCTAATACCGATTATTGAGGTACCCCTGCGTTTATTTTAAATACTCAAAGCTTATAAACCCTTAAGAAACTGCGATAATTGTCTCATTACTCACCAACTTCTGCAGATGCGTAGCGTTGATCGCCAACGTATCACCCTGATACCGGAGCAACGCCTGATCTCTGTCAGGCAGATACTCGACAACAGGCATTCGTGGACAGCCCACTGTAAACTGCACGGGGTAGCACCATACTTTCCTAGCGCCGTGGATTTGCAACGGAGCCGAGGGTAGCTCTCCCAATACTTGCTCTTTCAGGATCGAATTCGCTTTCTCGCGAACCTTCCGAGCATAGTCGCAAGACAGGTTGTATATTTTCATGCAGATACCTTCCACCGACGATTTTACCTGTTTAAAGAAAAATATCGGATAAACAGACAGACTGACGGAAATGAGTGACATGGTTATGTGACATGGTCATGATGTACATGTCTCAATTTAAATTTTTTTTAGAAAGATGAACTTCAAACAAGAGTTAAGGTCGTTTGAGTCTGCTAATGCCTCATAGATGGCGCCTCGAATCTCATATCCCTTTTCTGGGCTATCGATGCCTGAAGATACCGAATTTAGAATAGGCCAAAAAGAGATTGAAGACCCTAATGCCATCCATGGCAGATTAGCAAAAAACATTAACGCTCTTCAAAGTAGATTTATAAATTCATTTTTGAGTGAAAGACTTAAAATTTCACAGAACTGTGTTTTAATTGATTTTCGAGTTTTTCGTAATATAACTTTTCTCATATTTCACTGAATTTTCGAATATTCGTTAACCTAATATTTTAAAATATCTTGCGGGAAGCACCGAATTTGTTTAAAAGGAATCACATGTCATAGTCCAGTTAGACTAGGTCGTGCTGATCATAAACTTACTGTTTCAGTGAGATGGGGCTGACACTGCTGCTTCAGATGTCCCAACCTATCTTGAAAATCATCATACGTTGCTCCAACTGTTTTCCTCAACCACTGAAAAGTTTCATCAACGTTCCACTTTACCACTTTCCTGCTTTCATTTTCTGCATTCCTTGACTCCATTATTTTCTTTGCTGCCTCTGCATATCTAAAAACAATTTACTGGATAAACTAGCTTCAGAAATTTGAATCTTCAAGGCTATATATCTGAACCACAGCTATGATGATGTGAAATCCCATTACAGATTAACTGTCTACTATCTCCATACTAGACCAAATAAAAAAGGATATATAAAATATTGAGAGACTCAGATTTCCAGTTTAAATATATCTGGAGCTAGAGATATCAAGCATTAAAAACGTCAACCTAGTATCTACTAACCTTGACAGCTGCTTTCTGGCATCTCCAGTAAACTTAGGCCTCACCAACTTTATAGGTATATCATTCATAATCTCTTTGTACATAGACAGTGATATTTCTGGATAGCAGTTGCTTGGTAAAAGAGGATCATAGCCTTGAAAAGAATCTCTGTTAAATATCGATTCTTTCACTCATTTTACTTCCAACCTACCAGTGTCAATAACCTTTCTTTCCATCAACCACCTATTAAAAGATTCTTTGGGGGCATCTATGGACTCTCTTGAATGGCACAATTCCTGATAACACTGCCTTAACTTTGACAGCAAGCCACATCTGTATGCCTCAATCTACACAAAAAAAATGATCTCAATAAGAAAAACCTAGTACATATTCTGATGGGCATAGATATGTTTATTGTATGAAAAATGATGTGTTTCATATTGACAAAGCTAACTTAAAACTATAACAAAATTACAGATGTAGGACTTAAAATCTCAAATAAACATATCGTACAGCTCACAGAAATTTTCAGTAGTAGTAGTAGAAATATTTATTTAGCAGGTTTGGCTAAATATACACAATAATTTTAAACAACTTGGAATTAGTAAATTTAAGCCATATGATCTAAATGCTGGGCAAGGTAGTATTGTAGATCTAACAAGTGTTTCCTCAATTTTACTTTGAATTTTGTCAAAGGTTTCTGGTATTATATAGCTGTGTATGTAATTTATTATATTCAATCAACCCTTGATGGAATACAGATTTGGAGCAAATGTTATACTTTTTGGTTATTAAATGGAAGTCTTTATTTCTGGTATTATGTAAATGATGGTCGACATTTTGATGATGTTAAATTAGTTAGACATGGTGGAAAAGCATTATTTTTTACTTTATAAATGAATATCATTATAAGATATTTGATAAAATTGTTTAAATTGAGCCATTTTAATTTTTGTATAATTTATCATTATTCTATATATATATACAAGAAATTTGGAAGAATGTATTATAGATAATTTTTCTGCTATATGAACTTAGACATACAGAAACTCTTGATAAATATCCCACTTTAATACTAATCTTATTTATAACTTTTTCATAATGGATATCAAAAATTAATCAAGAGTCAACAAAAACCCGAATGTACTTAAAATTTGTATCAATATTTAGTTGAACATTTGTACATTGTTTTTTTTTTTCAATTAACATAGCTTTCATTTTAGTTGTATTGAATTGGAGTCTGATAGAAGCTAACCATTTTGAAACAACTTTCAAGTCTTAATTATAAAGATCATTATAAATTATTGAATATTTCACAAGTGTTGATGTAGATACTGTTGATTTAAAATATTGTTTTGTCTAATAATGAAACTTATATTTAACATTACAACTTATATTTATTTTTAAAAATAATATTTACTGTTTCTAAAATGAACAATGATACGACACTTATGATTTTAAAATTTAGACATAAATGCTAGCAAGCTTTACTTCCTATAAGAAATGAGACATTTTGTTTTTTACCTCTGGGTGAGAATGCATGTAGATACAAGGAGCCCTTTCAATAATAATCACATTGGTAGGTATATCTAAGTCCCATGGCCCAGCTAAAACAAATCTCTTTGCTTGTGGTCCTGCCAGCTCTTCAGAAGGTCTCCGTTTTGCCACAGGCATTGCATGGGGGCCTGGAACCGGCCCTGGAGCCACAGCTTGTGGTGGGGGAGCATGACAGATACCCAGCGGATCTGAAAGACGATCGTAATCTTAACCAATGTTATATAAATTCCTTGTCATATTAATGTTTATTTTTTCAAACCTCACTGTATGCTGCTACTAAAAGAATCATGAAATTTAGTAAATGAACTTAAAAGGCTTTTCAGAGTCCCAGAGCAGCTGTCTCAAAAAAGAAGCCACTAGAGCCTTTAAGCACAACTCTAGGGGCCACAAAGTAAAAAGGCATTATGTTATTAGAGCTATTAAGCTGCAAAAATAATTTACACTAAAAATCATGTTCAATATTTTTAGACTTCAAAAGGGCAATTGAGACTATAGATAGGGCAAAATTGTTAATGAAATTGCATCACTATGGCTTTAAAGGATCAGTATTACAAATATTACAAAATTATTTAGTAAATAGAAGTTGAAAATATTATGTCAGGTGTACAAAATATATCAGTAGCGGTGCCACAGGGGAGTAAATTAGGGCTGTTACTATTTATTATTTATATAAATGATATCTCTGACATTTTAGAACACTGCAAAATTCAAATATTTGCGGACACTTATATATATATATATATATCACATAAGCATTTGGACACTGCTTTAGAACTGTTAAATAGTGATATTGAAAAAATTATGAATTGGTTAAATGTCAATAAACTTAAATTAAACACTAATAAAACAAAATGTATGTCAATAGGGAAACATTTGGGTGGCAATACAATTGGGCTCATGATTAATGATGAAAAAATTGAAGTAGTTGAGTCATTTAAATATCTTGGTATATATGTGGATAGTAAGCTACTGTTTCACAAACATTATGAAGACATTATTTCAAAAATATTGAAAAAGTTGAATTAGTTCTATAGAGTTTCCCATAATCTTAGTATGTATTCCAAAAAAATTGTGTATAACACTATAATTCTTCCACATTTTTTATATTGTTCGACCATCTTGTTTACAGCAAATGAAAACATATTTTCAAAACTTCAAATTCTACAAAATGAAGCTATGAGAATCATTTTAAATAAAAACAAATATGCTAGGAGTACGTGTATGTTAGAAGAACTGCAGTGGTTGGATGTGAAAAATTTCATATATTATTTAGGTCTTGTTTTCATATTCAAATTAAAAAATCATTAGAGAACTTCACAAAATTAAATAGTCATTATTATAACTACGAAACTAGAGGCAGTATAGATTTTCATCTGCAAAATTGTAATAGTAGCATAACTAGTAAATCTATATTTCAAAAGGGAGTATTTGAATTTGATAAATTGAATAGTGATATTAAACAGAGTTCGAATTTAAAAATCTTTAAGGTGAAATTAAAGAATCACTTTATAAATAATCAAAATGCATAGTGATGTAATTTTAATTTTAATAGACAAGAATGTAAAATTACAGAAAATGGATGGAAAAAAAATATGTAACCAAATCATTATACAAAATTGAAATTGTAGCATTAATGCTAAATAAATCTTCAACAAAAAAAATCTACAAAATTTATTAAATGGAATTACAAGATACAGGTAAGCACACTTATTCAAATTTAAATATTTAGTGCTGATTTGACAAAACAAATCACGAATATCAAACTGCCTTCAATTTCTAGCAAAGATCAGAAAAACTTCCATGTCTGGGGCACCTAGAGTTGCACTCAAATATAGACAGCTGCAGGAGCTCCAGGGTAGAAAAAAATATTAAATTGATGTAAAAGATGCAGGTGAGAAGCCCCCTTGAATGGGGCCCCAGAATTAAGACAATTTGTTTTAAGGGCTATGAAGTTCAAAAAAATGAAGTATCAATTATAGAAAACATTATGTCCATTCTGCAAAATTTTAAAATATAGAATAAACATAGTGAGGACAAAGAATTAAATAAAATAATCTCTTAACTTGCATCGTAAGCATTCCTTATGTATCAATAAGTAGAAGGAAACGCATCGCGTTTTTGCCGAGATTAGTCATACACTAGACAATTTGGTGGCATTGTTTGTAAACAAACCGTCTCTCAACAAATCAAAATTAAAATTTACCAGTAATGGGATCGAATTGCGGCTTAAGCACAGGTATTTCCCAAAGGCTTTCCGCAGTCAGTTTATTCCAAAAGTAAGGCCTTTTCTCTCTTTTCGACCAAAACTTCTTCCAGCCCTGTTGTTGCAGTTCCAAAGGCAGCTCGAACTCCATTCCTTGATTAACAGGGGGCCCTTGCGGGGTGGTGGGTACAGGCAAATTGACGTGCGGTTGAGGCGTCGGTGGTGCCGCATTGTCCACTGGGGGCCAAGTAGGCTTCTCTTCCTTCGACTCCGCTTCTTGATTCATCCTGAAGCACCTCAAGCTTGGACTGATTCACCGTGATAACGGCGTTACAGCAACGCTACCACCGAAGAAAAATGTTTGCTACTAAAAAACATCTCAGAAACCGTTTGTTTATGATGAAAATACAACTTTTCCGATACGCGATCGCGTTCAGTCATCAAACGCGTAGAAAAAATTCGTACACCTTCACTTCGACGCCATTTGCTGACTGAGAAAAATGAAAAATTCCAAGAGGATCATGGACGATGGCGCTAGTTGCCGGCAAAATGTCAAACTACAAACAGAACTATCGGTAAGGTAGAAAACTGTATTCATGTTCGAGCATAGATTGGGGAGAGAGAGGATCAAACAGTCCAATAAATGAGGAAACACGTGTCCTCATCCGCCATTTTATCTTACGTCATAGAAATATATACAATTGAAGTATAATTGATTTGATTCAGTCGAATATTATAAAAAGATAATTACGTTGATTGTTATCAATTCAGTTGTCTAGGAGAAAATAACACTATTTTTATATGAAAACCAGTTTTATTCCATAATTTACATCACTTCAGGAAGAAAATGGAGGATGTAAATACGTGTCTTCTCGATCGTTAGAGTTTCTATTTTCACATTGTGTCATATATCATTATTGACACTAGTTGTCAATGTCAAACGCTGTCAGATCCATATTTGTTTGGCTTAATTAATTTTTGATAATGCCTATTGCCTATTTATTGATAAACTGGTAGATTTTTTGTAATTACAATGGAGTCGAAGCCACAAAAAATGCCCAAAGTGGCAAAAGTAAGTCCGATATTTGGAACGGTTTACATTATTGTAATTTTTTAATTTAATTTCAGGTTAAAAACAAGGCTCCCGCAGAAATACAAATCACAGCTGAACAGCTACTGAGGGAGGCTAAAGAGCGTGATTTGGAAATCCTTCCTCCGCCACCAAAGCAGAAGATCTCCGATCCAGCAGAACTAGCAGATTATCAACTACGTAGGCGGAAACAGTTTGAAGACAATATAAGGAAGAACCGAACGGTTATATCAAACTGGATCAAATACGCGCAATGGGAAGAGTCGCAAAAGGAAATTCAACGAGCCAGATCTATCTGGGAGAGAGCTTTAGATGTAGATCACAGAAATATCACAATATGGTTGAAATATACAGAAATGGAGATGAGGAATCGCCAGGTACGTTGCTTACACCAAGGCTATGCTATTGATGATTACATTATAATTTTTTTAGGTAAACCATGCAAGAAACTTGTGGGACAGAGCTGTTACCATCTTACCTAGAGTCAATCAATTTTGGTACAAATACACATATATGGAAGAGATGTTGGAAAATATCCCAGGTGCTAGAGCAGTCTTTGAAAGATGGATGGAATGGCAGCCTGATGAACAAGCTTGGCAAACTTACATTAACTTTGAGCTTAGGCATAAAGAGATTGATCGTGCTAGAGAGATATATGAAAGGTACAAAGATTTATATAGAGGCATAGCTGAAACTCTCTTATAATTTACAAAATTTAAAATTAAAACTTTTGAAATGTTGAACCAAGGTTAAACCTTTGTATCTATCTAGTGAATACTTTCATTCAAACTTTATGATATAGATATGTTTTTTTAGATTTGTTATGGTTCATCCTGATGTGAAACACTGGATAAAATATGCAAGATTTGAGGAAAATCATGGTTTCATCAACTCGGCAAGACAAATCTATGAAAGAGCAGTTCAATTTTTTGGAGATGATCACTTAGATGAGAAACTCTACATTGCATTTGCAAAGTTTGAGGAAAACCAAAAAGAACATGACAGATCTAGGGTAATATACAAATATGCTTTAGATCATATCCCGAAAGACCAGGCAAAAGAATTGTACAAGGCTTACACAATACATGAAAAGAAGTATGGAGATAGGACAGGGATTGAGGAAGTAATAGTGTCAAAAAGGAAATTTCAGTATGAGCAAGAAATACAGCAAAATCCAACAAATTATGATGCTTGGTTTGACTATATAAGGCTTGTTGAAGGAGAAGGTAATCACATTTTTATATTTTATGTAATAAGGACTTATTTCTAAGAAGTCAACTGGATATTTTGGATTTGAAGGCATATATTGCATTATAAACTTAAATCCAGTTTCAGATCGTTAGTTCACCTCAAAAATCCTGTCTCATGTTTTGATACTACTTTTATAAAAACAGATTTTTTTTGTTTTACAGGTGATATTGATGCTACAAGAGAAACTTATGAGAGAGCCATAGCTAATGTTCCTCCAGCAAAAGTAAAACAGTATTGGAGAAGATACATCTACCTATGGATCAACTATGCATTATATGAAGAGCTCGAAGCTAAAGACTATGAAAGAACTAGGCAGGTGTATAAGGCATGCTTAGAACTGTTGCCACACAAAGTTTTCACTTTCTCAAAGATTTGGTTGTTATTTGCCCAGTTTGAGATCAGGCAGAAGAACTTGACGCCAGCAAGGAAGATTCTAGGTGAGTTGAACATACAGGAAAGTAAACGTCAATTTGACATAGACGCCATCTTTGTTTTCTGTCACCGACATGTCATTTTGTTAGTTGAATGTTTACCATTGATCGCTATGGAGTCGTATTCGATTGAAGACCGCATTAAAGTTATTCAAGAGCACTACAAAAATGGTGCAAAAATAAAAAACACGTTTCGCGCGCTTCGTGAACATTTCGGTCGCAACAACCGCCCAAACGAAACAACCATCGGTCGTCTGGTGCGTAAATTCGAGGCAACAGGTTCTGTGGCAAATCTGCCAGGCTCTGGCCGGCCAAGGAGCGTTCGCACACCGGAAAATATTGCTGTTGTGAAGGAGAGTGTGAGAGACGATCCGAAACAATCAACAACGCGTCGATCCCAAGAATTGGGCATTTCGAGAACCAGTTTGCTCCGCATTCTCCACAAGGATTTGAATGTACACGCCTACAAGATCCAATTGACGCAAGAGCTGCGTCGGGCCGACCATTTTTCGCGCCGAACGTTCTCAGATTGGCTCCTTAAACACCGCCAAATTGATGCCAATCTTTCATCAAAAATCATGTTCGGCGACGAAGCGCATTTCACTTTGAATGGGACGGTAAACAAGCAAAACTGCCGCATCTGGGCGAACGAAAATCCCCGTGAGTATCAAGAGCAGCCGATGCATCCTCAAAAAGTGACTGTGTGGTGTGCATTGTGGTCAAAAGGCATCATCGGGCCTTACTTTTTCGGAAAAGCGGCCGGGGACGCCGTTACCGTCAATTCTGAGCGATATCATGTGATGATAGAGGACTATTTTTGCCGCAACTTGAAGGAATTGATATGGATGATGTTATTTCCAACAAGACGGTGCAACATATCGCACAACCAACGTCAATATCCATCGATTGCAGTCCTGCTTCGGTGATCGCGTGATTCACGCAGAGGAAATGTGCCATGGCCACCAAGATCGGCGAATTTGACTCCCTTGGACTTCTTTTTATGGGGATATTTGAAAAGCAAAGAGGCCTGAGGCCTTGGTTTTAATCTATACCAATGCACAACCATCAATCAATCCAACAGCCTACAGTTGCAATGCAACAATTATGAATTTCATTATCAGTTTATAGTAAATTTATCATTTTCAGGTACAGCTATGGAATGTGCCCCAGAGACAAACTGTTTCGCGGGTACATTGATTTAGAAATCCAACTTAGAGAATTTGACAGATGCCGACGTCTTTACGAGAAATTCCTTGAATTTGGACCAGAAAACTGTGTCACCTGGATGAAATTTGCTGAATTGGAGACCCTTCTTGGTGATATTGACAGAGCTAGAGCTATTTATGAACTTGCCATCAACCAACAGAGACTGGACATGCCTGAGCTTCTATGGAAGGCATACATAGATTTTGAGATATCTCAAGATGAGCCTGAAAATGCGAGGCAGTTGTATGAGAGACTTTTAGAAAGAACCTCACATGTGAAAGTCTGGCTGTCTTATGCTAAGTTTGAACTTAACAATCAACTAGAAGGTGACATGAATATAAAACTAGCTAGAAGAGTCTTTGAAAGAGCTAACGAATGTTTGAAGAATGCATCAGAGAAAGAATCAAGAGTACTGTTATTAGAAAATTGGAAGGAGTTTGAGAATGCACATGGAGATGAAATGATGCAACAGAAGGTCAACAGCAAAATGCCAAGGAGGATCAAGAAGAGACAGAAGGTCATAGATGAAGATGGCATGGAACAAGGTTGGGAGGAAGTGTTCGATTACATCTTCCCAGAAGATGAAGCTAACAGACCGAATCTCAAATTGTTGGCTGCCGCAAAGAACTGGAAAAAGAAAATGGAAGGTGATGATGAAGAAAAGGTGGAAGAGAAACAGACAAAGAATAGTAGCAGTGAAAGGGTAAGAGAAAGACTATTAGCTTCTGCTAAGAACTGGAAGAAAAAGAAGGAAGGGGTAAGTGAGAATGATGACAATAGACAAAAAAATGGAAGTAGTGAAAATACAAATGACCAGGAAGATACTAGAGACCACGAAGCAACATCAAACAAATTATTGAATTCTGTTAAAAATTGGAAAAAAAGTAAAACAGATCATGAAGACAGTCGAGAAATTAAACAGTGCAGTAGAAGTGATGGACTGAATAGTGAAATTGAAAGAGATACTGAAGCTTCAACCAGTAACTCTAGTGAACATCATGATAGTGATTGAATTTGTATTGTTAGGATATTTTTGAATATAACTTTTTTATATTTTTTTTTTATATTTTTCCAAATTTACCTAAATCCTCAACATAGAAATTAAAAACAAATGTAAATGAGTTCCTTATAAATAGTAACATTAAATCAATGGCCCTATATTTATGTGTCAGTTTTAAAAAAAAACTGATGTCATACAGTGAGTAGGAAAACTATAAACAAACAATTGTGCACAGACATTTTATTTCTAAAAATATATAAATTAATGATCCAATTGGAATCAATTGGATAGATGTGAAGCAAATAAATATTACACAATTTTATAATGTGCTACATCAAATTAACTGTTAACATGGAAAATGACTTTGAATGCTCCTTTTTGGATCTCCATGTGTGCAAGAAATAGAGAGGAGTGTTTGAAAGTGTGCACCATATAAGTGGGGCTGGGCACTGAGCATTTTCATGGTGCACTATTTCTACCCTGCTTCTCTCTCTCTTGTAGACATGAGAATCCCAAAGGGAAAACAACTTTTGCCTCTACTGTATATGGCGCCCAACAAGAGGTTTGCAAGATCCTAGCTCTTTTTAGGATTAGTGAGGTGTCTAAAAGAAATTTAAGATCTTAGCTCCATCAATGAGTCAGTAGCAGAACCACTCTTGAAAGCCGATTTCTAAATTTGTGTTCTGCTACTGTCTCAGAGATGGTGCTTAGATTTTTCCAGATCTGTTTTTAAGCACAGGGATACAGTATTTGGTTGGAGATCATCAGGTAAGATCTATTAATCAATGCTTTAAATGACTACTCAAAATTCTACAAAGCACACATCAAATGAAATTTAATAAATTACAATAGAAGTAGTAAGTCTTAATATTTGTAATTACATAACAGTAGTTTTTTAGACAAATATGATTGTATGTAAAATCTAAGAATAGGTTAATTGGCTCAAATATAAAATAAATGCTTAAAATAGCAGTTTTACTTCAAAAGTAAATATTGACTTTAAGCCAATGCATCAGATGTTCATATTCAACTAAAACCTAGCCATTGAACTAAATCTCACTTCCAAAAGTTTGGGTTTTGTTGCAGTCTCCTTTCAAAATTTGTATACCAATTCTGAACAGTTGATAAAGGGACATAAGTAGCAGTGGGATCAGGCACCATATGAGCCTGGGTTACAGAGTAGCTAAGTACATAATTCATAAAATTCTCCAGCATCTTCTGAGCAAAATTCAGATGTTGTTCAGCACTATTTTGTTGAGGCCCCTCTTGAATATTTTGAATTGGCTCTGAAAAATAGTGGAATTGTTTTATCATGCTAATTTTTGCGAAGAAAGGCTTAAAAGTGTGTATTTGATGTTCCATTTATTCTACACAATTTCCAATCAATACAAACATAGTATCTTACCTATCGATATTCCTATTTGTGCATTATGAACTATATGGCTCTGTCCGAACATCATATTTGAGTAGTCGCCCATTTCTTCTAATCTTTTGAGACTAGATACTTTGAATATGACAGAAGGCTTTTGATTAGATATATAGCCTAGCAGTTGCCAGTTTGGGGGTGCATTAGGGTCTGGCCAACTAAAATAAACTGAATAGAAGGCATTTACTATCAGTACAACTACATGCTATCAACAAATTAGTACCTTGCCCAGCTGTACCTTCGGGAAACGGTACTGCTCCCGTTAGAAACACCACAATGTGATTGATGTTATCAGCATCTGGTATGGTTGTCACAAATTGCCTATCACTTATGGGGGTAAATTCGGTTTGGACCTGGAAAATCGGAATTTGTGAATGAAATAAACGAAGGATTATTTGCTTTATATTACCAGACGTCCAGAGACTATAACACCAAACATTGCCATGTTGATTCAAAAGAAATTGCAATGAAAAAGACGAAAACAACCAACAAGCTTCTAGAATGCCAAAGAAGAATTTTTTGAGGTTAGCGGCAAACAAATCAAATGACGTTTGAATATAAAATATAAGACATTTGTCAGCTGAGACCGACTGTGCATGAAAAGGAAAATAGGCGTGCCTTACCCAACAAACTACGTACGAGGGTGATGTGAAACGTTTTCGACCTAACAAAGATACAAGACACTTTCTGTGATATATTTTTTTTATTTTTCAACATAGTCTCTTTGTAGCTCTACACACTTCTTCCATCTCTGTAAACCGTCCAAATAATACTCGGCGTTTCTCTGTGCAAAATAATTGTTCACGAATGTGAATGCCTCTTCATTTGACGAAAATCTCTGTCCTCCGAGCGCAAGATAAGGGAACAAAAATAAGTCGCGTGGGGCTAGATCAGGTGAGTAAGGTGGCTGGTCAAACAGTTCAAACCGTAATTCGTGGATTTTCGCCATTGCAACCGCTGAGGTCTGAGACCGTGCGTTTGGTTAAGCAGGATTTTCTTTTTCTGCAAATGTGTGCTTTTCCACGACCTCTGCTTTCAGCTCGTCAAGTAATGATGCTTAGTATGCTCCTGTAATGTTTTTTTCCTTTTTTGAAGACAATCTATTAAAACTCCATGACTATCCCAAAAAATAGTCGTAATCACTTTCCCAGCCGAAAAATCAGTTTTTGCTTTTTTGGAACCGGTTCCCCCTTTGCAGTTCACTGCTTGGACTGTATTTTCAACACTCACATCACTTCACTTAAGCGACTGTTACATAACAACTGCACATCCACATTCAAAATGGCTGAAACATTGGTGAATAACTACCAACAGATGAACAAAACTAGCTTTTATTTACGAGTGCTGCCATCTTCACTTTGTGGTCGGAAACTATTCAGACCACCCTCGTACACGTGGCTATATCTACTAATTTTTGATTCGTTAATAGTGCGGTCATACACGTACAGAATTCCTATTCGGAATAGCCCAGGAGAATTGGATATTTTCCGGTCAAAATCACAGATACTGTTTTTTAACCAAGAAAAGATTAATTTTTGGGCTATTCCGAATCTGAATTCTGTGCGACTGCGCTTATGCTGTGGCTGAAGGAAAACGTCAGTTGGAAAAAGTAGGATAGGGCTTAAGATCATGCGGCTGTCGATACTTTGGTGGCTGGTTAGTCTAGAATAGGTTACGATTCCTTAATGTTTTAACTACATAAAAAAGCATAGACATAGCTGTAGATTATTTTGGGCTTTTCGACGCTACAGATTCATTTTGTACTTGCTAACAACTCTTTTATCTAAAAACTTAATTTGCATACAAAAGAGACGCTACAATCAAATTTTACTAGTTTTGCTACCGATTCATTATTGCCACCGATACAGAGTAATACAAAGATGTCACTTGTTAATCAGCTGTTCGCTTCAGTAGACGTCAAAACTTGACGGATGAGCCACAATAGTCGTGTAACATTCGCCTTGCAATATTGGAGATATGACGTGACATAATCTTGTCGTTATAAATGTTGTTTCAGTTATTTGATCTAAGAATCTTCATATTACAAAATAAATAAAACACGGGTCTGTGCTTTGGAAACTTTAAGATTTTACAGATGGCAGAATAATATTTCGCGCTTGATTTTTAATCAACTTCTTCGATGGTAGGTCCATCATTATCTCCTGTATTTCCGCCTCTATGTAACTTCGTCATGATGGGTCCACACGTTCTATTAATCTCCTTCATTCTATAATCGTATTCTTCTTTTTCTGCCGTCTGATTTGATTCCAGCCATCTGATGCAGTTCTCGCATTCTCTTTGTACTTTCTGTTTATCGCCAGAACTCAATCTATTTCCGCAATCTTCCACGGCCTGCTTCACACTGCAAGAATGAAAAAGTATGGTGAATTTTTTACTGTGTACTTTATTATTGAAAATACGAAGATTTGCAATAATCTATCGATGCACTATACCACACAAAAAAAATGTCTGCCGCATAAATTGTAGAATTTCCTCACACTAACTCTCACTATTTCTTGGGCTAATAATACTAACCTGAAAACGTAACTCTCCAACGCGTTCTTGCTAGCGACCCTTTCCTTCTGTTTTTCGTCCTCTTCCTTGTATCGTTCTGCTTCCGCTAACATTCTTTCAATGTCATTTTTGGACAAGCGGCCTTTGTCGTTTTTGATGGTGATGTTCTTAGATTTTCCGGTGCTGGATTCCAAAGCCGAAACGTTAAGAATGCCGTTGGCATCCAAGTCGAATGTGACGTCGATCTTTGGGATCCCCCTAGGTGCTGGAGGGATACCACACAGATCGAAGGTACCTGAAACAAAAAAGGAAATCATTGCATTCCGCAAAGGGGCACTTTCCAATTGCTTTCATTTCGACGAAATATTGTAGTCGGTTGATATGTTGCCGCGTAGCGGGAGGGACTATCAAGTTTTGTCCCGACACAGTTCAGTCGCCATTATGCGTTGAAACAGGCAGGAGCGTGCTTTTGCTATTGGGACCTACTCGAAAATTGCATCAAATGCCTTTGCATTCACCTACCACAGTGTAGTGTGCAATGTCTCCAGCTGGAATTATTGGTCCCTGTTTCTTTGAAGAAAATAAAGTCGCAGTTTTGCTGGTAAGAGTCACGACAAACGCCAGAAATCGATTTACTCAGTTTATGGAGATTGGGGGACGTCATCTAACTGATTTGATCTTAAAAAATATGTAAAATAAAACGTTAGGTATAAGAATACATTATGAGTATGAGACACTCTCGTACATCGACTATTAGGCAACCAGAATTACGTGAGCGGTCGCTGCAGCATCGAGAACGCTCGGCATCCATCGGCATTGCATCTGCCACCAGCAAGAAACATCGAATGTCATCTAGCGCGCTTCCATGAATGCTCGCGATAGTCCAGTCGAGATGGTTATAAATTTAAATAGTAAATACGGTGTTTGCAATATTAATATTTGCCTTCAAAAAATTGAATTTTCTCTAGATAGAGAACAGTCAATTTCTCTCTGAAAATATTAAAACGTCAAAATGTATCCTTACCTAAGAGATTGTTGTCCTTTGTCATAGCTCGTTCTCCTTCAAATACTTGGATGGTAACAGCAGGCTGGTTGTCAGAATATGTAGTAAAAGTTTGAGTTTGGTGACATGGTATTCTGGCGTTCCTTTCTATTATTTTGGCCATGACACCACCAGCTGTCTCTATGCCCAAAGAAAGTGGGGTCACGTCCACCAAAAGCACATCCTGAATCTTCGAGCTATATGATAAGACAAAACAAACTGAATACGTTATCTAGAATAAGGAATATGCATGATTTTTTTTCATATTTTCTGAAGATTATTTACGTAAATACAATATCGTTTCTTTGATGGTAATGTCTGTATTTGTTTCTAATTAAATATTTAAAACTGCAATGCCAATGACAATTTCAAACGCCGCCTCTTTTTTGACGCTTGGCAGTGACGTCATATCCCTCGACATCTCAGTTGATTGGTTAATGTGCTTTCGAATATCCAAATGATCTTCTAGATGATACAAATCCTCTAGTTTTAATTGAAAAAGAAAACAAAATCATTGAAAATTTATTATAAGTACTGCATTTTTTCCAGTTGCCATTTAATTAGTATTTGTATAACACTATAAACCACTTAACCATTTTCAGTCATTGTTGATTGCACTTAGAAAGGCTTTTCATCGCAAGAAGTAATTCTGTCTGAGGTCTAAGGTACACGAGAAAGATGTAAAAACTGAACTGATCCTCCATCAAACTGACAGGTTGACAGTCAATGATAGTGAGGAAAAATGTCAGTCATTTTAAATCAAACTGACCAATCAACAAAGGGTTAACTGGTCACAAGTCGAAATGTTGATATCACCCGAATAGCATTGCGTTTCGATATTTCAAATTTACCGCGTGTTTTCTCCATTTGATAACAATTAATAATTCCCGTAACTTTATAGCGTTTAAGTATAAAATAAGTCTGAAGATGTGATTCTGTAGCAGTATAGGCTTTAAATAATAATAATGATAATAATTATCCGATATTTGAGTCTCATGCATATTCCCGATTCGTGACAGTTCTGCAGCCGAATTACGTAACCTAAAAAGTGACATTATATCGATTTTCAATGAAAAAATTACCCTATAAACTAGCTGTCATTCAGTTCATGTTCACTTGTAGTAGCTGTGCGTGCTGCCTAAATGTCATGACACTACATGATTTGGCACTGATGTGATCAAAAATGTGCGCATTGTATAAATCATGTAAAATACACTATTGTATTGAATAAAATTGAAGTTATACAGATTTACGATCTGTCAATTGGTCTTGGAAATATCGGCGAAAAACATAAAATGGCAGTATTTGTTTTTTGCCAGTAAATCCAAAACGGATAATTTGAGAGCTGTGAAAATGTTACATTATTCGGACATTTTTTTGAAGCAAATAAGATGCGTGTATGACATGTCTCAATCGTCTTTTGTTTTCCCGCAACCCGCCTCAAGTTTCATTGTTCTTATAGCCGTAATATTGGATTTTTCGATTTTTGGAAACAGCGTTAAATTTCCAGCCTAGTTATATCTCACAAGTCCATTAAAGATTCGAGTATCACCGAAATACCATCACACGTAATGTTATGTATTAGTTTTTTTCTAAGGAGGCCATGATTTATTTGTCAAAAAATAACATTACGCTATTTTCGTTTTTATTTTGCTGATATTTTCAAAACGAATTGACCGATCGTAAATCTGAAGCCGGCTATCGAAAGCACTAAGTTTCCTCTAAAACTTCGCCATTTAACCTTTGCTGAAGGTACAACAGGAGCCGAGATCCCTGTATGGAGAAGCGAATCTGGGCCACACTGTATGCAGGGAAAACCAAATTTGTCTGACGGCTTGAGCTCAATGTGTACGAGAGAGAAATGTGTCTAGACACATGTTAGACAGAGATAGAAGCCGGCTGGATAGCAAAGCTCATCACCGCGTTGCCTAGCAATGCTGACGCGATACTCTGCCGCGATGTCAACATGTTACATCGTTCCTTGAATTAAGATTCATGCTGAAAATATGCGTTAGTTTATTGTCTACGCCCAAATAATGATTTTATTTTGAGCGCACACATTTTGGAATTGTGTATATACGAATGTGAATATATGTCCAGTCTCTCAGCATCACGTATGAACCACAATACAGAAAGAAGAAAACATTTGTACTCATACTAATTGATAATCAACTGTCGCGACAAGTACCCCAATCTCCACTGTCAGCGAATTTGGAAAATCCCATCCCAACATTTTCTACATCATAGCAAGCAAAGAGAATTCTAAATAACCAATAATATACTGTGAGAGATAAAAAACCACGAAAGACCCGCCTGCAAGCCATTCACCTAGCAGAGCGTCCGTAGAATATTCTGCAGACGATAATCGTATTGGTTGACCAATCACCGTCAAACATTTTTTTTGGTTCTATTTCTGTTTACTGATAAGAGCGTTCCAACGAGTTTTTTCTGTTTTGCGGGAGGAGCGACTATTCGATTTGTATTGGTGGAGTTAGTATGTTTTTCATTTATTTGCATTTTGCAGCTATATATGCTCATACAATTTAATTTCTCTCGACTTTGTTGTGGAGTTAACATCTGTCAAACAATCCGCAGATGCTTAAAGGCTTCTGTATTCAGACTTTGCATTTTTATCTTAAGAAAATCGATACTTTAAGAACACTTCACAACAATTTGACAACATTTCACACCTGAATAATAAACATGAAGCAGCTGTGTACCTGCATAACGCGCAAAACTCATTTTTGGATCCGATTTAAGAAACGAAAAGGTGCGACTGACAAAAAACAAATTCCGCCATTTTTGTTTTTTTGCTGATATTTTCAAAACCAATTTACCGATCGTAAATCCGCATATATTAGGCAAGTAGAAATTGGTAAAATGGCACATATTACGATAGTAGTAAAATTCGTTTCTTACATCTTCTCTAATATTTTGACGTTTGCGAATAAACCTAACCTCACTTAGGTATATCCTTCTATACCTTGTCTATACCATTGTATACGTATTGCTTACTTTGTATACGCATTGTATACATTGTCTGCGCATTGTCTACAATTAAAGTACACGTGTAAACGCCCATCACTGATGTGGATGTAACATCTGCTTTTGAGATAGAGCTACTAGAGGCCATTTATAGCTTCTATGGCTTGAGCTGTAAGTTTTATACTGTAGTTGGAAGGAAGCTACTGCGGTGCACAGCGATGATCAATGAGCTAATAAACTGTGTTGATAATTCAGTTGGTTTCACAAAGTGTACTGGTGAAATGTGAGCTGCAGAATCTTAGGCAACATGGTCGTTGAGCAATTCCTCCATAGATGGCGCTCACAGCAAGTTGATACTTTTAATGACATATCGACTTTTTATGCAATAGGTTTTAGACGTTGAAACAAGACCCACGGCCAGTCGATATTACTTGAAAATCCTATATAATGTCAAAAAACCGATGAAATGTCAACTTGTTGACTAGATAGCTGGTAGTGTGCAAATTACTGCAAATAGTCCATTTCGCGTCTGCTACAACCACGATAGCATTAAATATTTATTAAATATTTTAAAAAAATGTTTGTTGAATATTTGTAGCGACAGATTTTATAATATTTAATTAATTAATTTCTTATATATTCATAAAATATTGATTATAGATGTTTGTAGTATATATAATTCATATATTTTTGCGATATTTTTTCCAAATATTTAGAAAATATATAATGAAAGATATTTAAATATCAATTTTATATTTTGATGAAATCTCTAATATTTTTCGTAAATATGTATTTAGGAAGTATATGAGGCAACAGATTTTCAAGAATTAATCTGATACCTATTTTTATTTTCAGTGTATATAGAAAATTCTTCTTTGGTTATTTTAGCAATTTTAGCTTTTATAAAATTGGGTTTATAGAGAAAATTTGTACTAGATATAATGGTTTAATTTGCTAGAAAAATATCATTGAAAAGCATTCTAAGCCTATTCTGCATCTTGCAAACCCACTTCTGAAAAAAACTTACTAATTATGAAGTATTATTGAATACATAAACTGATTTACAGTGGTATTTTGTTTGAGAGAGATATTATCCCGAAACAGTATTGGTGCTGAGCACTGCTGAGTTACTCCGAGTAGCTCAGGTGGGTCACTGAAAAGCAGCTCTATGATGCACCTGAAAGGACCCCACATCTTCTTCCTATGAGAGTTGAGATTTGCTTAGTTTATAAGAAAATTTGGCATGTTATTTTAGATATTTTGATGAAAAATGTCTATTGGCACAACTTGATCTTTCAACTAACTTTCAAAGAAAAGGTTCTTAAAAATAGACCACTTATTGATTTTTTTAAATGTGACTCTCTTGAAGTTGTAAGAGGGCTAATTGAGCCATAATTATTTTGGGATTTTATTTTATAATTCAAGGGACAAAAATATAGCATGTTAAAATTTTGGAACCTTGCTTTTGAAATTTTAAAATAGAGCTGATTCGCCCCCTACTACGACAAAAATAATAATAATTGAGATATTTAAAAAAAGCATTTCATCATCAAGTTGCGATTATATGACTTTTTATTGGGATGTTATGAATATAATTTTCGTATCCATTTTCAGATAAATGCACCAATCCCAAATCGCAAATAACTATTACACTTCAAGGCTAGTAAGTACCTTTATACTCAACTGGCACAATAATGTTTACTATACAGATAAATTAATGTAATTATCGCAAAACTTACCATTTTCCACAAAAAAATAACACTCAAATAATGTACCACTTGGAGGTACACAGGAAGCACGCTGTCATAGTGAAAGTCACAGGCAAAATGGATGCTGGCAAACGGGTCGGCTCAGGTCGGCTTGCCATTATGCCATTGGCAAATGCCGATAAATATTTAATGAATATTTTCTAAATAATGGAGTTTTAATATTTTCTATTGATTGAAAAGTACATATTTGATGAATATTATGAAGGAAATATTGTATTTAAAATATTTGAAAGGTATTGAGATTAAGATAAAAATCTTATTAAATATTGAATAAATATTTGATGAATATTTCGTGCTATCGGAGAAGTGAGCATGCAGTGAACGACAGCAGTTCCTAGTTGACATTTTGTAGGAAAATCTACATAATGTCAAAAAAAACGGCACTTTTAAGTTACGTAATACCCTTGCCGAAGATTAATGCAGTCCGGTCCTATTTACTGTTGATCCGTCGTTAATCTTGGCGCAGGACCTTGAACCCAGATCAGTAGGGCCTCTAGGGACAAAGTTAGGACTCTCTTTACCTAGTATCTCCACTGAGTATAGCTGCCTGTACGGCGGCCCCATACGCAACCGCTTCGTCCGGGTTGATGCTGAGATTCAAACTCTTCCCGTTGAAGTAATTCTTCAACAGTGACTGAATCTTCGGGATCCTCGTAGACCCGCCAACAAGCACCACATCGTCGATTTGCGACTTTGAGTAGCCTGCGTCGTTCAGGGCCTTTTCTACAGGTTGCAGGGTGCTTTTGAAAAGATCGGAGTTCAGTTCTTCAAAACGGGCGCGAGAGATTTTCGTGTAGAAGTCTATGCCTTCGTAAAGAGCGTCTATCTCCAGCGAGGCCTCGGTGCTGGAACTCAGCGTACGCTTAGCCCTGAGGAATATCAAAATGACGTTTGGGAATGTCACACTATCAACAGTTGTTCTGATCTCTGTTTGTTTGTTTCAGATTTATTTAGCATTAATCCATAATATCCATATACAAACCTCTCCGCGGCCGTTCTCAACCTCCTCAATGCCCTAGCGTTCTGCGTGATATCTTTCTTGTACTTCCTTTTGAACTCTTCCGCAAAATGGTTGACCATTCTGTTATCAAAGTCCTCCCCTCCGAGATGTGTGTCCCCAGCTGTGGACTTGACCTCAAAAAGTGACCCTTCGTCGATCGCGAGGATTGATACATCGAAGGTGCCCCCTCCAAGGTCGAAAATCAGGACTTTCTTTTCACCTTTGAGGTTTTTATCCAAGCCGTAGGCTAAGGCAGCGGCCGTGGGCTCGTTGATGATACGCATTACGTTCAAACCTGTCGGAATGTAAATGATCAAACTTTGTAAAACCATTCATTAACGTATCCCACCTGAAGGTGGGACAATAATGTGCCTAAGTCACATTTGAATAAAAAACATGTCTATCATAAACATTCCGTGGCGTAGGTATCTATGTTCAGAGTTTCTTTTACATCCCCCTCCCCTCTACAACCCCCCACCCAAAACTTGTTACCCCTATTTTTTCAAAAATTATCAGGATCCCCAAGCTGGAACAAGTCAGGACATGTCGCTCAAGATACAAATACCAGTTAACAGTTTACTTCTTCTTGGAAGGTGTCCTCGCGAGTATAAGGTAATCATTATGAATATGAAAACAAGGATATGCTTATACTTCTACCTTTTTCTCCGAAGCAAGACCTTATGCTTCCGAGGATATGCTTCTCTTTTATGAATACGGCTCATTGAAAATATTGGAGTCCACAGTACTTGCCCAATTAATGCAGTTTATAGAAGAAAACAAAACTTTAGTGCAAACACAAGCAGGCTTACGCAAAAAATATTCAACATCAACGACTTTCCAATTGGTTACTGCGAATTGGAAAAAATTATAAACAAGATTAGAAGTGGGATATTTATCAAGAGTTTCTGGATGTCCGAGTTCATATCGTAGAAAAATTATCTATAATACTACCATTCTCCAAAATTTCATGTACTGTTCGACTATTCTATATTTAGCATATGATACCATTTTTGAAAGACTGCAAATTTTACAATCAAATTAGGTAAATATACTAAGTGACATATAAATCCGAACACTCAGTTTAAATGGTTTTATTTTAATAAAATTTTGTATAAGTACTTAATGAAGCATAATAAGTAAATGATAAGCATTTTAAAATGATTGCACTGGTTTAAAGCCCTTTGACCTTTAATAATGTGTGGATGCACCCTGATGTGCTACGCATTCTCCAACGCGCCTAGGCATGCTTCTGATCAGGTGGTCAATGTCCTCCTGTGGTATCTCATTCCAGGCAACCACCAACTCCTCTCGAAGTGCTTCTAGAGTCTGAGGAGGACGTTGCAAATTGAGCAATCTCCTACCCATCATATCCCACACGTGCTCAATTGGGGATAAGTCGGGAGATCTTGGTGGCCATGGTAACAATGTGACATCATTATGTTGAAAGAAGTCTATTGTCACTCTTGCAACATATGGTCGGACATTATCTTGTTGGAACTCCAACAGTGTGATGAACATGTCTTTCAACAAAAAACTGTGGTTTCCTCCTTTCACCACGTCGCCTTCTAACCCTGGCACGACCATCGTGCATGCCTAAACAAAATCGAGACTCGTCACTAAAGACAATACTGTTCCATTCCTGATCCCAGAGTGACCGTTATCTGCACCACTCAAGGCGATTACGTCGGTGTTCTCGAGTTAAAGGGAGGACCCAGTGTGGCCGGTATGAAAACAAGCCAAAACTTCTCATTCGTCGGTAAACACTTCGCATGCCAATAGGTCTTCCGTGTTCTGCAAACCATTCATTTGCAATGGACCTGGTAGTGGAGAAATGGTCCCTTAAGGCCAATAATCTTAGGCGGCGATCTTCACGGTCTATTGTTCTACGGCGGCGTCCAGTGCCCCTTGCTCTTTGCGTACGGCCTTCTCGAAGCCATGCCTGACAACACCTAACCACAGTGTCTACACTTCTTTGCACTCTAACTGCAATTGCCCGAAAAGAAAGTCCAGCTTCCCACTATACGGCCCCTATCAAACTCACTAAGTTGACGAAATCGTACAGGTCTCCGTACTCTAGGCATCGTAACCGATCGTAAAGGATGTCAAGAACCAAAATCCGCCAACGTTGATTCTTTACTGCGGCTGAAATATTCATTTTTAGAGCGTTAGTGAATTAAAAAAAAGCAGTATAAAAACCGGAATGTCCAACTGATAAGGCTGAAAATTTTTTCACTTGTTATTTACAGTAAGATAAATACATTCACCAACTTTTATTAAAATGAAACCATTTAAACTGGGTGTTCGGATTTATATGTCACTTAGTATACTTAGCAAATTGAAATGGCTCAATGTGAACAATTTTTTCAAATATCTTGTAACGATATTCTTTTATAAAGTCAAAAATAATATATTTTCACCATGGCTAACTAAATTAACATAATCAAACGCCGACCATCATTTACATAATACCAGAAATAAAGCTGACTTCTATTTAAAGTCCAATGAGTATAATATATGTTACAAATCTTTATTCCATCAAGGGTTGATTGAGTTTAATAAATTAAACACAACGATTTAAGTTCAGAATACGTTGACAAAATTCAAAGTAAAATTGAGGAATTACTTCTTGAATCTACAAATTTAGCTTGCCTAGCTTGTGCATCATATGGCTTGAATTTACTAATTTCAAGTTGTTTGTAATTATTCGGCTTATGTAGCCAAATGGACTAAATAAATCTTTCTACTACTGCTTCTAGTCTAACAATACAAACCCAAATTATATACTTACAAAACCATTTTTAAATTATTACACTTGGATTTCCAAAAGCCACCAAACCAGTGTTTTCAAAAATAGGTTTTTTGTGCAAATGTGTTATATTTCTTCAATTCTTTTAGCGCCAAATACTTGTTTCTCAAAATGTAAACATAACGTAGCATTTCAATCGAAATTAAGCAAGAAACGTGATTTTAGAATTTATATAAAACTTATACTTTATATTTCTCGAAATATAGTCAATATGGGTAGGGTACCTTATTGACCCAACCCCGTCAATTATCTGCGATGAAATGATATACCAAGGTGTCATCTATACGAATTTGTGACTGTTACGTTTCTCCTCTTCTCAATAATTTGAAATCTACTTTGAAAAGGTTTATCAACAGTAAAACTCAAGGACGTGGAAATCATATGATCGAACTTAAGGTTACTCGTACGTCGTTAGTCTAATCATATTAGACGAAAATACCTCTGGTTTGAGAAATAATTGTAAAGTCTGGTTTTATTGCTGCAAGTTGTTCATGGGGGTATTCAAAACATGGACGCATAAAATGGGTACACCAATTTTTGTGAGAAAACTTTTTATTGGAAAACAAAGAATGAGAAAACGTGCTTTTAGGGATTCAATCGAAAGTGCTGACAGAAACGAAAAAACTCTTCATGTAAGATTTTTAGGTATGTATGAGATCTACAAAATAGGCAAATTCGCCCGGAAAGAATTTATTCTAGACCTAGAAAATTTACATATCTAGCTGCTACATCTGAATAAAAATTAAGACACGGGTGATTTGAAGCATTGCAATTTATTTAATTATTGTTAAAATGGAACATTTTAAGACAACAAAAGATTGAGCTGCAAAGCACTTAAACTTTGTCCATGTTAAAAATGAAATATACGTTCCTCCATCAACGTCGACAACAAAATATAATTGATACGTATATTAATTTAAGCGTCCTATTTTAAGAAATCAATCCTGGAATAAAAATTACCTGTTCGATTATACCTTCAAAACGCAAATGGCAGGCGGCCAAACGAGCGAAAAATATATTCTAATCGATAAGTTCAAATACTATGAACGATATGGTACGGAATCCATTGCAAGTTGTGGGGATTGCTATATGTCATGTTTAAAAGGATTTAACGCTTGAATAATTTTGATTGTGAAAAATATAAACGGGTTCCGGTCTATACGCAGCCATTCTTTTGACGTTGTTTGTTAGGAATCTGTACCATGAAATTGCACATAACTGAAATTGGAACATTCATTGTAAACAAACCCTAAATTCTAAACCGTGAAGTCCGATAAAAAGTTGTGATGGTACGATGAGCTTTGATTACGCGACCCCTTTTCCATGCAAAAACTGCAAATGTTGAAATTAAGTTCTGATTATACCAATTTCATGAAGCTTTCTGCTTTTCTGCTATACACCTTGGGAAAAACCATTATTATACATTATGATGAGGAAGAGAGATGGAAATATACAAAAGTATGTAGGTGCGTGAAAAACACTCGATTGTAGGATCCTATCTGGCAGCGTCGGAGTGTGACGGACAACGGGGTAAAGTAGAAGAGTGATAAAAGAGAGATGGCAGAACGGCGCTGGCGCCTGCTGCTTAGACGGATGCGCTCAACAAATGCGATTTGTTTCTCCCATTCGCAGAGTTGCCGATACCAATATGTCATATTTCTAAGAAATCTAAGTCTACCCAAATTTCGGGAAAAATAGCTGCGGATTCCACATAAGAGTATTCCAAAAATGAAAAAAGTTCAAACTATTAAAATTGTATTAATGTTTCATGGTTCAAATCATATTTTTCATGTTTGTATATTGTTGTATAAATGATTTTGTAATCCCTATTCTTGTTGTCAGTAGAGATACAACAGTATTGAGAGAAATCATGGACCGCTAGATAGGGCTACAACTACAATATGACTATCAAATAGTAGTGATAAACAGGGTTTGTTTATAGCACAGTTGCCTGGTGTGGCAAATTTGCGCCATAGGGGCGATTTGACAACTTTGAAGGACAACTATAACGGTTACTATGGTGCCCGGTATTCGGGAATCTGGCAATACCTGATGATTCCTAACGTTTATTACGCCAGATTGTTTGCTAACTTGCGCAGTACAACATGACAATCAACGTGACTGAGCACCTGGTAACCCTGGTTTAAGGTGTTATATTTAAAGAGCTTGGGACAGTTAGGTATCTAGGTCATTTTTAATGTATTTCGAGAAATCCGTAATGTTGAGTAAATACTAGATCACGTTTCTTGCTTAGTTTGCTGAAAATTCTACAATAGACGTACATTTTGAGAAACAGAGATTTGGTGACGACAAAATCGTAAAAATATAACGCATTTTCGTAAAATAATTTCTTTGTTGAAAAGACTGTGGCTTGATGACCCATTGAACGAGTATAGTGTCCCGCTCCGCTTTGAATATTCGAAACACTATACTCCAGCAGCATTCAGCTTCAATGTTATCTTTATGAAGTTCTAACGTCTAGGCCATGC